TACAATCCAACTTCTAAGGGAAAACAAAGAAAGAATTCTGTCTGTAGTTTTGCCTCCTAAAAGGATTAGGTAAATTTATCTGTGGACTTTAAAACAGTATCAGTTTCATTTTAAAAAAGGATGTCATTCTCACTTAAACTATTGAAATCAAGATGAACAGTGGCCAAACTCTGTCCCTTACAAAACAACCTTAGCTGCACAAATTATACTATTTTGCAAATACCCCAGCTATTCTGCAGACCAGATATTTGCTTTCAGTGTTGGTTCTTTCACTATTGAAATCACCAGGTGCTTTTCTTTCTCTGAAAGGTGTGTAAAAGTAAAGAAATAATACTTGATTTATGTCGTTAGAGTAATATTGACTGTATGATTTCTTTTTGTAGGATTTGATTTAACTTCTGTGGGAAAGTCTCTTTTCAAATCAGTTCACACTACAACAAATCCAGATGTGGGAAGCTGTCCAGAATGGGATTCTGAACCGAATAATAGGCGTATTTTTCATAGTTCTAACAACAGCAAAGCAAATGTGAAGGACACTAACTGATTGCAAAATAATATAATATGTCGGCAGGATAAGACAACTGCTAAAACCAGTACTGTCTTTATCACATTTTTCCTCTTTCTCTCCTTAAAAAATTCATGCATGCAGCACTAACAGCCAAGATGACAAGCCAGTCTTATAAGTCTTTGAGCTCTGGCTAGTACTCTTTGGGTACCTACATAGAGGAGAGCAGAATCTCAAATAAAGGGTCTTTTTTCAGTACTATTATCACAATTTGCCTGACATATAAAATCCACATCTTAAGCATGTAAACTGTTTGGGACTATTTTCCTTGTTATTAGAATCACATGCACAAAATCCTACCAAGTAGGTTTTTACTCAGGGCATAAAATATCAGTGATAAACTACTAACACAACTGCAACTTGACTGATAGAAGCAGAATTCAAAAATAAAAAAAATTGAAAAGAAAAAAAAAACTTCATTAATTTTTTCATAAGAAAGAATGATAAAACTAGCATCAATTAGAAAGGAAACTAAAAATCCTTGCTGTAACATTAACGTTCTTAAAAATTAATAAAAAGGTAAAATGAAAATTGTAAATTTGGTTATAATTTTGACTTTATGTCTATTTAAAAGAGTAAGAGGAAACAATAAACCCTCTCCAATCTTTTTCTTATGGCACACGAAGTACCTTTCAAAAAGAAAAATGGAGGCTACCATGACAAAACCATGAAATACGGTATTTTACTGCTGCTGTAGGCCAGCAGCAAATCCAATTTTTGTTAGAAAAGATGGAAAAAAATGGCACGTTTGTCACAGTTTCTGCCATGTTAGCTCCATGTAAGATTATACTTTGCAGACTGGCTTAGCCACTAAAGAAGAAAGTGATGTTGTAATCTTGGTACCTACTCGCAGAGGACTGCTGAAATTATATTAGCCCTGCACATATGCTGAAGGGAATACTACAATGAAGTAGAAAAAGATGCAATAAATTCATAAAGCTCAGTAATTCACTTCATCCTTAAGCACATACTTTCAGCATAAGGAGTAGTTATTTCAGTGAGAATATTCTTTTAGGAATGTTCACCCATCCCAAGACACATAAGTGTTAAAATATTATAGAAATAATAATGTTAAAGAATAATACTTAGCCATTAACTGTAGCTACTTTGTCTTAATAAACTTATTTGCTTTTCACTGAAATATTATTTGCAAGGTTTGTGTAGCTTCTTTAAGATGAAGTCCTTTCTCCTTCCTCCCTATTAGATATTACCTTTGTAACTCCTTTTTTTCAATATAAGATTTACCCAAGCATTTTCTATGCCACTATCTTGTTTTCAAGGCTCTTTCAGAAATATTAAATATATAATTTTAACATTATATTTCAGTGTTTTGGCTCTATATAGTTTTGAACTGCTGAAAAATGGAATTTTAAACTCAGCACAGTTTTATTGCAATGCCTATCCACAAGTTATCTAAAGTCAGATGTATATTTGCCTCTTATCATGGTTGTTGATTATACTCCTAGTTCAATCAACTAAAATCTGGAAAATCTCTGCCATTACTCAGTTAAATGCATCAGTAGATATTTGTCACTGGAAATAAATAGATTTCAACTGTTGTTACATTTCAGAAGTTAACACTTTTTAATTTTATGTATTTGACTCTCTGGCAACATGAACATTTAAAGTCACTCTGTCAGTCTCCCTATGGGAAAAACAATAAGCTTATCAATTAGTTTCATCATTGCAAACTATTTTTTTTTTCCATTAATACATTATTTGTTAAACTGTTGAATGGTATTTTTAAGTACCAGTACCTTACCACTTTATGTCCCTGGTTTTGGCTATGGACAAAATCTGATTTGTTACACAAACGCTTGCTTTTTCTGTGAAGAAATTTTCTAGTGAAAGTAATGTACAAAAATTCAATGCGAAATCCATGGGAAGAAAAAAAATAAATGAATAGAGAATGTGCCAGTAGTCCAGTGGCAGAAAATAATTCCATTGCAGCAGACCATGTAAATCAGAACACAGTTCCTGTTTACCATAACTTTACACTCCTTTTCAAGAATTACCATTACACTGCACATTTACAAAATGGCTAAGGAAAAACAGGAATGAGCACTGCTAGAAAATGATTGGAGAAAACAGAAAAAGGCTATCCAGAAGAGTTGGAGAACAGAAACATATCAAAAGAGTGTCATGAAAGTGTTACATTTGTCATACACTGCACGTAGTAATTTATTTCTCTTACTTCAAGAGATTCCAACATGATTTACCTAGCTGCCCAGCACTGATTATTTACCCTGTCCCAGAGATTATTTTCACTGAATATGGAAAATGCAATCCAGTGCACATTTGCACAAAAAATGCTGGTTAACAACAAATCTAATTTTTGTCTTAACTAATTGCATATGGCTTTTGCTTCTGCAAAGCATACAACAATAATTAAACACAGTGCCTGTCTCCCAAATAGTCAGTACAGCCTTGAGGTATCCAAGGAATGCTTCCCTTCAGTGTACATTATCTATCTATTGATTTGATAGTCTGAATGCATAAAAGCCTTGGGAACTGACAGTGTTTAATGATGCAGGAACTGCACTTCTTATCTATATGAATGCTGCAGTTGCTGAGAGAAATTCTGAGATACTTAATGAACAGACAAATTATAGCTAAATGAGAACAGGTTTATTTTCATTCATACATTAACCATTGATATTATGGCAAAGAGTACAAAATGTAAAATATCACCCTGTTTTAATAGAAACAATACTTCATTAAAAATAGATTCTGTAAATTCTAATGAAAGGAAAATAAACACGAGTAGTGTAAGTTGTATAAAGTGCTAATGATTTATTTTGAAATTCTAATATTCATAATATTTAGAAATATACTTTCACATATTGGAAATCAGCTAATTGAAGTTCTTGTTCTAGTGTCCGTATTAGATAGAGGTTGATGATTAAATGAAAGTTTGCTCATATATAATTGTAACTTTCTTTTAAACTCAAAGTATAAATTCAACCAATGAAAATCACAGAAAATGAACAATGTGTTTGATTTCAGGTAAAACAAAAAAAAGCTGTGAATTCTCATAGTGACTGTCTTCCTACTTACAGTGCCCAAAGCAAAATAAATAAATCAGCTGAGTTTCCTGACCTAACCAGAGAATGTTAAACAATTTTCTTCCAACTAGAGTGTTTCTTGTGCAGAAGGGTCTCCAGAGTTACATCTAGCATTAATGGGACATTTTTATCAAGATGCTTCTCAAACAGTAAGAGAGAAGCATTTTATATCCCGAAGGGTAACACTGACTCTCTTTTTCTTTTGTAGTCGCAGTAAATGTCAGAATAGTCAGGAAGTGCTATTTTAGATTACCAGTCTCTGAATTGGCCTACTTATTTCATCTACTATTGCTTGCAAAACTTATAACTAGCAGAAACACATGAAAGCTGCTTCCCAGTGTTCCAAAGATTAAATATACATTTGATAATGACACTTGAGAAATATTGTTAAGAGTTCAGTAACTCTTGTAATTCACTTTTAAAGCATCCTGATACAAAATCATGCTTTGTATTGCAAACAAAACCTTTGTCCCCAAAATAAGGGGAGATTTAAAATAGGTCTGTAATCTTATTAACAGTCTGCTACAGTTAAACATCATGCAAAAGCCTCTCAGCAAAGAAGAGTGACTGAAGAATGAATTGCAGATGTTATTTTTACATTGATGCTAGAAGGCATAACCAGTATCATACCTGACTGCAAAACTATGCAGCACATAAGCTATTCTCAGAGGATCTATTTTAACAGATCATTTCAAAATACTTTCAAAGCATACCAAAATATTACCCTGGAAACTTGTGATTTGCTGCTATTGACATTCAGTATCAGTGAATTGAAGAGCAATAACATTAAATGTGGCTGAATTCTCATTATGTAAAACAAGCATTTTCCTGCTCTACCCACAACAGTATTTCTATTTGTGGAACATGATAAGAATTACAATCTGTGCCTTATACTTTCACATTAAAAGCACACATGCCTTTAAAGGTATTTTCAATCTGAAATATCGTGCAGGATAGATGGTTGTTCATACATCAGGGTGTATTTCTTTCCTACTGTAGATTGCACCAGATATGTTGGAAGCCCATGCATCCAAGATACATACAGTATGCTAGGTAACTCTGAAAACCTAAATTAGGAAGATGGGTGGGAACAACCAACACAATAGTAATAAAAATAGCCATTAGCTTAAAAACAATATTTTTACTCAGCTGCAGAATATTATCTGACAAGAAGTCTATTTGCAGGTTTGAGCTGGTATAAGTAATTAACACTGCTTTCCAACACTGCCTTTCTGCATTTACATACCATGCATTATGCACAAAAAAGGAGCATACAAATAGAGATCTTTTCTGCCCCTCTAGCCTGCCATCAAAACCAGCACAGAATTTTTCATTGATAAAAAGAAGAGAATGGAAGAAATCAGACCAACCTTCACCATGTACGTCACACCAGGTCCCAGGATCTTCTCACTCCAGTGCAGCCATCCTTGAGAGGGTTTATCGACAATGCTGCTCCTTTGATTCCAGTCTTCATCTCCGGGGCGCATTTCCTCTGACTGTGTTTTTCTCCCCATATTCATCTTGCTCAGGTCCTGCTGCAAACACGAAGTAGCAGAGACAAGGTTACATGTGTTGTCAAAAGCTTCTGCTGCTGAGCTGGAAGCACTCGAGCTTCCCTGTAACTTGGAGACTGCAAGCTCCTTCACTGCAGAGGACAGGTTTTTGATACCCAAAAGGCTGCCTGTATTAGAGAATTTCAAGTGGGACACTTTATGGATGAGGGTACACAGAGTGGTGGGTCCATCTTCTTGGTCCTTGCGGAGAACCTCTGGAGTGACCAGGTATGAAGGTGCTGCCGAAGTTGTAGCAACTGCTGAAACCTTGCTGTTCATGGACAAATTGTGAATAAGATCATCAACTGATGTCACTGAATCATTCCTGAAGCGGTTATACTTGGTACGTTGAAGCATGCCCTTCTATATATTTTCCTGCATATGTTCTGGCAAATCTGATGCCAATGCAGGAGATGCTTCTGCTAACATAGCAGGCGATTCATAGCAACACAGGCAGAGAACAAGATTTTGGGGTAAAAAAGCAAATAAAATGAGGAAGAACAAAAAAATTATATATTTAAGATATTTTTTTGTGGTTCCACGTTAAGATTAGGAGAAGAAACAGTTTTCTATAACAGAGATCCCAGTCCTGCTTAGAGCTGCCAACTTGCTCACAGCAAAAGCATGACTCACATAAACAAGAAGGACCCTTTTCAACAAAAGGCTCAGTGAGCACTGCAAATCACTTCCTGTAGCAAAAAAAAAAAAAAATCCACCCACTTACAGCACACTAGCACCAATCAATTCTCAAATTTCCTTATCCTCTCTCCTCAAACAGATATTTCCTTCTAACACTTTATTCCTCCCCCCCACCACTCCTTTTCATACCAAAGGCAATTACCTTTAAAAAGGAATTAACAGCCTTTATAAAACACTGTTTAACTGTTCTTTCACCTCACATATTTGTGAATCTATAAAGAAGATACAATTAGAAAGCAAATATCTGGATAATATATACACACATATATTCCCCTCTCTTTCCACCAGCAAAATACAGATACTTCAAGGGTTTTCAGAATACCTTTAAGCATTTCAAAAACAGATGATAGAAATAAAGAAAATACACTATTTTCACTCACAAAAAGCAGTCTAGCAGATTTTACAAGCTTTTGTGTCAATGCTATTTCTCACAGAAATTCTTACTTCCAGTTTTTCACAGAGAAAGCAATCCTTCTCCCCTACCTCACAGCAATCTTATGTTTTAATGCAGGATTATATAAAGTACCTATGTGTGAAGTAAGTATTTTTCTGACGTCCAGTAACAGGTGTAAGAGATGCTTTTTCTTTCACCACTGATATTCACTCCAAAGAAAAATGTGAAATAGATCTTCTATTCCCTAGAATATTTGCTACAATTCTGAAAAACTGAGAAGTGCAAGGGGAATAGTCAAAAGTCCATGCATCATCTCACTAATGTCCTGCAGTAGAAGGACAAGAATAAACCAATTCATATTAAGCACAAATATCAACCACAAGCACTTGATCTGGGGAGAAGAAAAACATGAAGAAATCAGATACTTCATTTTTCTCTCTTTTTTATTCTTTTTAAAATGCAAAGTGTATACAGCATTGTGAAATACAATGCTCATCACAAGCCATATGGCTCTTTTTTTAAACTGACCTTCTCTTCAAAACATCTTTTAGACATACAAAAATACAGTATATAGCATTCTTTTTTGAACAGACAAATAACTGCAGAAAATTTTAAAGGAAAAGTCCTGTGGTATTCCTTCCCTCTCCCTTAATAAAGGCTACAGTATTCGAATACAACAAAACAGATTAAACACAGTTACTTAATTAGTATATTTATGCCATTAAATTAAATCAGCACCTCTTATCCCCGCAGTGATGAATAATGGCAGTGTCTGTGTTCCTAGTGATCTGTGGAATAGCCTCTCACCATCACACTGCCAACCTGCTACAGCATCCTCAAAGCATTTGTTCCTTTCTTCATCCTCCTAGCATAGCAACAGCAAATATACATATCATAGCCTAATTTTACTTGACTCAACTGCCCAGAAAACCCTATCACTCACAAATGGCTCTCTTCATTAGAAGCAGCTAGCAAAACTGCAAAATATGAATGAGAGTGTGTGAATGGAAGAGCTGGCTAGCAACCTCACATTTCTGTGAATGAAGCAAGGCCTCACAGCCTCTACCAGGCAATCCCTTGGGTACTCACCAGGCCAGCCAATACCAGCCGGCTTTGATGACTCATTCAGCAAAGGCTTGCTAAATAGTGGAAGATCCCATTCTGAACACAGGTGGCATCTTTCCTGCAGTAGCACGAGAAAACAAAGCTGGTGTCAAGGGTGGGTGACAGCACATTGTAAAGCCACTATAGGGGAAAGGGTATAGCAGGAGAAATGCAAGGATTATGTGGGATAGAGGTGGCAGGGGAGGAAAAATGGGGAGCCAGGGCTGTGGTCTTCCCTGAGCTGTTGGTTTGGCTGATTCATTTGCATCCAGAGTGGGAACGTGAATGTGCATATTTTGTTTGATGTTTAACTGCTCTGCCTATGTGCCAGCAGATTCACAGATTTTACAGCTCTGCATTCATAAGTCTATAAGGAAAAAAAAAAAAAAAAAAAAAAACCTGCCTGAAAAGAAAAAAATAAAATAATAGCAGATATTTATTTGCACTATTAGCACATTATTTGAAAATGTTGTGATTACCAGGCCAGTGAGAGAGAAGCAGAGGGAAGAGGATTGATTCCACTTCCCAGACCCACAGAAGCAGGATGGAATTCTGACATTATCATAGAAATGCTATCTAGATCTCCAACAGACTCTGAACTCTCCTAAAAATATGACATTTAATGCTGTTGCAGAGCAGAGCAGTAGTAGCTACTGAATTCCCTAAGGGCTTGAAATTTGATCTGATAGGAAATGGTTTCCTTTGAAAATCTGTCCCAAAACTAGAAAAACTGAACATCTGAAAATTTAGTCTATAGTAATTCTTGTGACCAGAAAATGTAGAAAATTTTGCCCTACAGGCAGCACACCCAAAACTCACTCAAGCAAATAATAAAAGTAGGAAAACTTGTAGTGGCCTTAAAATGCCATTAGAATTAGAATTCAGTCACTTCTTCTGTATTGTCAGATCATTATAAGGTGTCTTCTGAACTACATGCCCATTGTTTTCACACATATAATACCATGCTAGCCTGCAACCTTTATTGTTATTATCATCATTACCAGAGCACTCTCAACAGTAAGGCATTCACTAAACTATTTCCCTCTAATCCTTCTGCAGCCAAGCTATGTCAGCTAGTAAAGTGAATACAAGTTAAAACATGAGCCTTTTTTGTTGAAGGGATGTGAGCCAGACACTGGCACCATGAGTAATAAATAGCCATAGAACAGTCAGTCCATTGTGGACTCAGTAATAAAATGGTAAGTGGAACTTCAGTGTTTATAAATGCAAAATAATACATAGCCCTAGCAATATACACATAATAAGGGGAAGTAGCCACCTCTGACCAAGTACAGCATTTCTTAGGAACTACCATTAATTTTGGTATCTCTGATTGCTCCTTCTTGCTTTGAACTTATCTCCATTGGCTTTTTATATGAATGCAGACAGTGTTTCACATTGTTATTTCTCTTTCCCTTTCAGATGGCTCTCAAGTGCTGTTCTCCTATTGTATCTTAATGACCTCTACAGCCTGTATTTCAGAAGCAACGAAGTTTTATTACTCACAGAGAGGGGGGGGGAAAAGATAATTGGGTCAAGATCAGAGAAAGGAAAGGAGAAAATTCATTTTTTTTTTTGTTTCTGTTGTTAGGATGAGGCTTGAAGGGATTACATTTCTCCAGATGCAAAGGTAGGAGGCACTGTTCATGCAGGAGATGTTGTGATCACCACAAAGGGAAGCGCAGGCAGAACCAGAGTGTTCCACCACTTTCTGATGGAAGCCCATTTGATAGCAAAGCAATGACTTCCAGTGAGTGACCCATATTTAAAGAAACGTTAATCATTTCAGAATGAGGAACAAAATCCTAGTACTGCATTGTGGTAAATATGTACAGTAAGCAGCCAAGTTGGGTGATGTTAAAATTGTGAGGAAAGGACATTTGCATTTCTGATGAGTGGTGAAAAAATTTATTTTGGACTAATTTTTAAAAATGATGTGCATGAAAAAGACATTGATTTTGGAGGAAACATACTCCAAGCTGATTTAGAGTTAGTTGTTACAAGAAACACTGAAAATGTCAAACAACTTTGAATACAATGTTGCCATGAGTTTTGATTGCAACACACAAAGCAGATATGAGTTCTACTGTAGCTGACCTTCCTCTTTACAAAAAGTCCTAAATAATCAATGCTGTTATGTTGCAGCATTAAATCATCAGCATATAAGATTATATTTTTTCTCCTTGTAATCTGGTAGGCACAAGGGTTAATGCTCTGTTTTAGTAAATCATTTTGCAGACTATTTAATATCACAAGTGATTGATTGCTCACATTAAAACATAGCATTTCAACAGTCCAATGGTTTCCAATGTTCTGTGAGGATACTTTATCTCCTGATTTGTTAATTGAGAGAAGAAAATACCAGCTTTCATCCTCTAGATATTTTCCGGAAACCTCTAACGGTATATTCATCAGGCTTTAAACAGCTTTATATATGTGAGGGAAGCTTAGATGACATGGTTATAGATAAGCAAGTAACATTACAACAAGCAGCAGAGCATTATAATCTAAACTTCTTAAGCAGGTATGTAGCTATTATAGTTAAAGAAATTATTCTACTTAATTTTTATATATCTTTTCTGTTTGAACATACTTAATACATCAGTTCCTGTCCTTACTATCTCTGGCATACCAGCACACAGAGGTCAGTTACATGCTCCTGTGATTTTAAGGGACACTTTCACAGAGCTGACAGGAATATCCAAAGGAACCAAAATCTCCATCAATGTCATTAAAAAGAGCCACGACTACTACAAAACAGTCTGCAGGAAAAGAATGAGGTTTATTGCAAAGTCTGCAGTTCTGCTTTAGAAAAGAAAAAAGAAAAAAGAAAAAAGGCAACAATAAAAACCTCCAATAACTATTTTAAAAAGTTCTAGTTGACTTATTTCAACAAAAACCTGCTCCAAATTGCCTTCCTTTCCTTTTCATTCTATCCTCTCACACAATTAGTTTTGCTGCTTCTATGGCAATCTTATTGCTAAGGGTTAGCTGTGTGAGTAAATTGAACATTATCTGCAGTTGTGCAAGTTATTTCTCTGGAAAACCATATTGTTGGAAATATAACTGTTTAAAAACAATGATTACTATTTACTAACATTCAACTTCTGCCTTAATTTGAAGTAGTCCAATGTAAATAAAGGTTAAAAGTATGCCAAAAATTTCTGTGCAAATGTGCAGGTTTGAAGCCAGAAGCTGATCCTAAACAGGATCGTTTCTGGTTGCTTGAAAATACTGGAACACTTCTGCCTCAAGACTCTTTCATTCTGTGAAATATGACATGGAATAGTTGGTAGAGAATGAAAATTGCAACTCTTCATGCTGCATCAGTGTGGCTCCTGTTGGCCTACTACTAAAAGCCAGAACACAGTGAAAGTTCAGTATGAATCTGAACTGGATCTGGATCTTACTACAGAATCTGACTGTGGCTCCATGGCTTCATGAGGCATGGAACTCCATCACAA